CCCCCCCCCCCCCCCCCTGAAAAAAAATGAACAAACAAGCACTAGCTTTGTCGTTCTTGCCAAAAATGCCTCTATGATGAGCCAATAGCGCTGAAAAAATGGGTATGCAATTTTTATTTACTGTTGCTAACCATTTTGCAGGTCGTGATATTGGAGTTAATCTTCCCATTTTGCTAAATGCTATTGTTGAGGAGCTTCCTACAGATGGAAGCACAATGCTCCGGATTGGGATGACTAATCCTCCATATATCCTTGAACACTTGAAGGACATAGCCGATGTTCTGCGTCATCCATGTGTTTACTCTTTTCTTCATGTCCCTGTTCAGTCCGGAAGTGATGCCGTCTTGAGTGTAAGAATCAGATTGTGTAAATCGTTTCCATCCACTGTTTCATCCACTGTTCCATTACTTGTTTTCCAGGCAATGAATCGTGAATACACTGTAGCAGAGTTCAGGAAAGTGGTGGATACATTGACTGAACTAGTACCTGGAATGCAGATTGCCACGGATATAATATGTGGATTTCCTGGTCTGTTGAGTGTTGCCAAATCTTATTGTACTTAATTTTCAGTGAGGCTTTTTTTTGGGGGGGGGGCATCGGACCATCCAGATTCCGGGCTTGGTCTATTTAATGTCTTCGTAACTATATTAAAGAGTAACTGTGATGCAAAATTATGCTAGTAATAGTAAAGAGGTCAGACAACTTAATTACAAACGAATAGAAATTTTTATCTATGCATTTGCTTCTTTTTTTTTTTTACAAACAATTTTACTAATAAATTTTATATAAATGATTTTTTGACTTCTAGTTTGACAATAGAAAGTGAAAGATATTTTCAATTAATTTTGTAAGCCAAGCAGATCAAGGCTATTTTTGCAATGAAATGATAGTGATGAAAATGTATGGAAGATAACTTAACTTGTGGCTTCTGCACCAAACAATGTTTTTTGGAGATGCCTTAAATCCAATTTCAACTATATAGAACTCTCAAGTCTTTATAAATCTTTGTATTTTATTGTTACAACTGCAACACTTGTTGTTTCAACTCACATGTTCACTCAGTTCTTGAGTTCCTGGGAATTGAAATACTTCGTTGAAACATTCTTGCCAGGTGAAACTGATGAAGATTTTGCTCAGACTGTTAACCTTATTAAGGATTATCAGTTTGCTCAAGTTCATATATCGCAGTTTTATCCTAGACCTGGTATGTTGCTTCTAATTAAAGTTTTTTTTCTTGCTTTCGTAACACTTATTCCATTTCTTTCACAGTTCAGCCCTTGAATGTCTTGATGTTTCCAACACATAACACACTGTCTGGCATCCGTCCCAAAAAAGGGGTCATGTTTCAAAAGCTTTCTTTTTTCTAAAAGTAATAGAGTCCTATTTCATTATGGATATCAATCAAGACTAAAAAAGTTCAAATACTATTAGGATTCAATAGCTTTTAAGAGTTCTCATAATTTTAAAACTGTACCAAACAAGACTTCTTTGGATGGGGGAGTACATGTTTTAGACAAATGATGCATTTTCTTCTATTTGAATAAAAATTCCATTTAAGCTTTGAACAAATACATTTTTTGAATTGCCATCATTGTTTCTTCTTGAAGAGTGACGGGGAAGATATAATGATTTTCTTGTTAAATAATAAAATCAATTTCATCAACCCCTGGAAAAGGGATTTCTTAAGGATAGTTATTAACACCTTTGACAAGATACTGAATAAGACGATATAATTTAAAATAAGTTTCCAAGTGTGATTCAGATTGATATTAGTTATTAAAAACGATGTTTTGAACAATAGGTATGTTTTATATCTAAATTGGTACTATCCATGGGATCAATTTTTAATAAAGTAAAACCAATGTCAGGAACTCCTGCCGCAAGGATGAAGAAAGTTGCTAGTAATGTGGTGAAGAATCGAAGCCGTGAGTTAACTGCTGTATTTGAGTCATTTACACCATATGCTGGAATGGAGGGCAAAATCGAGAGGATATGGATCACTGATATTGCCACTGATGGAATTCACCTGGTAAGATTATGCACCGAGTATCTTAAGTTGCCAGTTGCCTGGGCTCTCTTTAGTGTCTTATTGTTTCTTTTTTTTTGATGTTTTAATTTCACATTTCAACTGCAAATATCAGAATGTGGCAATAAAACAGAGAATTGCAATCATTTTTCTAAAAGTCCCCACCTGGCCCTTTGGCTAGGCCACGCCTAGATGCGAGGCATCCTTTGACCACGTAGACTCCGACTATTGCTTTTTAGAACACTGATTGCTATAATTGTATAGGGTATGAATTCTCTTGGTTGTATGCTTATTTGAAGAAAATTTTCCACTTTTGATCCTATGAGACTATTAGCCTTATTTGGCTATTCCCACGTTGATCCCTTTCCGTTTTTTTTCTTCCCACTTTTAGTGCATAACTATAGAGTTATTTCCAGAACAATGTTTGTACTCTGTCAATAGAGTTTAAACTTTCTGCGTCTATCTATCTAGGTGGGCCACACAAAGGGGTACATTCAGGTGCTAGTGGTTGGTTCCGAGAGCATGCGGGGATCCTCAGCCATTGTAAAGATAACATCAGTAACCAGATGGTCGGTTTTTGGGGAAGTCATTGAGGTCCTTCAACCAAACAACATTGGCATACCCAAAAGCGATTGTGAAGGACCCTCTTGTGCCAGCTCAGCTGAAAACTGTGCATGCTCCAAACAGCCAGAGGCGGGTGCTTGTTCTTCGGATGTCACATGTTGTGCCTCGCCAGACAACTCCGAAGTTATTGTTTCAAAGGATGACCCGAGACAAGCGGACCACCAAAGAGTTAACCATGCCGGGTGGTTAAGAAGGAAGACGAAGGGCCGTTTGGATGCGCGCCGTACTGTTCGAGCAGCTGTTTGGGGTGGTCCTATTGATACCATATTACTGAGTGGAATTATTTTCAGTTTCTTGACAATAGTAGCACTTATGTTGTATCTAGGTTGGATGAAGAAATAGATTATTGTCCATAAGTTCAATGTTCTAGAAGAATTTAGTTTGGTTAGTTCTTGCAAAATGTCACATTCAATTTTGTATTTGCTGAGTTTTGACAATGCCCTTACTAAAGCTTTGTAGGCCCAAACTTGAGGACCCCTTCTCCCAAGATTAATGTGTGATTTTGATCTTTCATGTCACCAATTCGCCTCTTGAATTCCCAATCTTTCTTCCATTTTACAGTTGGGTCTCTCTATTGGCTCTTGGTCTAAATTTTAGCGAATGATCAGTGTTCTAAATGTGCTCCCTTTTTTGACAACAAACTTTGTTATCATATTATGACAACAATGACTACAGTTTTCCGATAAAAAAATTGATGATTTTATCTCTCCCAACCCCTCCTAGGCCCCCATGTCCAAGACGTCGATTGGCAATAATGTTCCTATTGCCAATTGAGGATGGCAGGTGGGTTTAGAAAGGGATTAGGGAAGGTAAGAATCATCTATTTTTTTATCGGGTCACCGTAACTCTTGTATCATAATATTACAAGGTTTGTTGTCAAAAGAACCCCGACCATTCTAAATAGCACTATGTTTGGTGTTATATAATGAAGGAGATTACATTTAAAAATGTTATTTTCTCCGTCCCATTTTAAAGTATCTATTTAGGTTTACGATATTTGATTAAAATCATTTTTAATTCAATTTATATGAGAATTGGGATAGAATTTAAAATAAAATTTACATATTAAAAAATTACATCAAAAGCTCTTCAAAACAAGTGGTGACATGACTATTTTTCTATCAAATGTCTATCAAAAATTAATAAAGTGAATAAAAGTTTGACCATTTGAATAATAGACATTTGAATAATAAACAAACAGTTTAATTTAAACAAAAGAAGTCAAGTTAAACTTGAAAATGCTAAAACTAAATTTGATATGTGTTTCAACATGTTTAAGTTATTGCCAAACATGCACGAAATTGAAACCTCATTAGTTCAATATTTATTTTAGCAGAGGCTAATAATTTACATATGCTAAAACAAACCAATTTGATGAATAAAACCAAAGTTCAAATAAATAGTGGTTAACAATAACAGTGAATACAATCTCCTGCAGGTTTTAATGATTTAAACACAAGGGGTTTTAGAAACCTGATGAGAAAAACTCATGCAATTTCAAGAGATCAGACATACAGACTCTAGTTCAAAGAGATAAACAGCTAAGTACATTTCAGTATTCGGTCGACCGGCTTTCTCTCTCATACAAACTGTAACGGGTCGGACTGGGCAAGGGCAATGCCTGAATCAAACTTAAGCATCTTTGATGGCCTCTTTCCGGTGGGGGAGCTGACCGGAGAGTTCTCATGGCCACCGGAATCTGGGGTTAGGGGTTCGTGATGAGATGATGACGATTCATCGATAGACTTTGCGAGCTTGTTGTTCTCGCCGCAGGGAGGTTCGGATGTTGGGGCGGGGGTTGATGGATCAGGAACATTATTCGGTTCGTGGGGCCCACCTGACGTTTCAGAGAGAACTCCGCTTAGCCGTTGCTGCTCTTCAATTATCTTCTTCAAGTACTTGCCTTGGGCCTCTATCCTTAGCTGTAGCTGGCGCTGGACCTGTTAGCCAGCCACATGAACTGCAGATCAAGAACTATAATGCCTCTTTTTTTTCTGACAAGAACTTGTACTATTAAACGTTCTAAAAGAGAAAGTCCGAGGCTATGTTTTGAACATGAAAAATGGCATGGAAAAGGGAAAAAAATGCTAATGTATATACAGTAGTTTTTTAATGTTTAGTTTTATCTTCTACTTTAGTGTGTGTGTGTGGGGGGGGGGGGGG